CAGCCTCCCAGCTTTCCTGGTTGCCGAGTTGAAAGTGGGTGACAAAATGCACTCGCTTTCCGAACAAACACACACAGCCTCTCGACAGTATGCGTTTTTGCTGGCTGTAGCAGCGCTAGCGCACTGCAAAAACGCATAAAAACTCATAATAACCTTCCACGTTAAATTTCTGTAGCTGTCGATGAAGTTCTGCTGTATAAGATCGTGTTCCCTTCTTGATTCATTAAGCAGATTTTCCTGCGCTGCCGCACTTTCTGGTATGCCTAATGCGAATAAGGTCCCAATACCGTACTGCAACTTAGATCATATATTTCAGTGTCTTAGCTAAATCAACAATTTCAAAACGGTTTCTGCAAAAAAAGGACGACGAGCACGACACATTTTTTATGTGATACATTCTTCCTCAGATGATAGAGGGTAATAGCAAAAGCATCATTGTAACTATTCGACAAACTAAAATCCGTTCGGCAGGGCATATTATTCGACTTACTAACAGTCGGTGGACATTGCGCATTAGTGAATGATATTCGCAAGAATGTAACTGCAACGTTAGAAAGATGTGGGCACGTATGTGGGGCGGCAGGAATACTGTTTGAAGGTGTACTGCACAGGACCAAAAAGGCTATCACAGTTGCGCTCGACCGTGAAATCATAAAAAAAACATCATTAAGGATCCCCACACCGATTGCCCGAGTGGTCGAGGCATTCCCGACAAAATAAACTGAAGTAAAGCGTCTGCACTCAAGAGTTCAATTAGTGCCAGTCAAAAGATAGCATAAATACTACTATGAAAACACGACAACTGACGAAATTTATTCGTCACAACTGAATTTATCCATCAATTTACCCAACTCAGTGGAGCGGGCGTTCTTTGTAATTAAAATGAAGCTACTGACCCAAGACAATTACAGAAGAGTTCTTCTAAATTTGATCTGAGTTAACACAGTGACTGAAAAAAAAAGGATGCGGATATGCGGACAGGCGGATGGAAAGAAAGGCAAAATTAGTCAGCAGTACAACCATTTTTGAACGATGAAAATCGCTGCATAAAATGTTTGTTGTTAAGAGCACAAATTAGAAGATCCAACTATTCCTGTACTAACAGGCCAATCTACATATAAAGTTTTTTAATAGGAAACAAGAAGCCCATAATATAAATTTATAACACACCATGTTTTAGCAGGAGTTCCACCAAAATACTGTGCAATTTCTGTCCTAAATGATATCGTGCATTATTTTCCAGTCAAGAAACTTTTGAGATATATCCCTGAGTAAGCAGTCAGGTTGAATTCACGGCAGTAAGTGATTGTCCCAATCTCCATGAATTTAGATATAAAAGAAGATCCATAAGAGCATTGGCTGATTACAAAAAATTTTTACCTGCTCATAAAAAGCCTTGCCATACATTTGACGCAAGATGCAACGACGTTCAAAATGATCTGTAGCCGAATGAATAACAATGATGGCTGCCAGATTTGGATGCATGGTGGTACAAAACCCATCTTCCAGAATGGTCCAGTTATAACGATATGGATCAACCAAAATGGCATCGCTCGTACTGGTGCCGTTGACCGTTTCGTTTCTCATTACCTCAAGTGAGCTTCTTCAGTGTTTTGACTACTTAAAACAAATTAACAGATGTCGTGAGAAAGTAAACTAGATTCAGTTATCTTAAAATTTTGTGTAATAATTTAATTTTATACCTAGTTCATTAGAGAGGGTTTTCTAATTTAAATTTTTTAAATTCGATTCTTTTGTGATTTTTCGTCGTGACACCCGACTCGCTTAAACTGAATGATGGGCGTCTGCCAAGAGACTGACTAACTCTTGTCTCTAAATTACACCAAATAAACCAAAAGTAGTATTCAGACATTTTCAGAACATGCTTTTTAACAAATGAGAAATTTTTAATAATGCTACTCATGCTGCATTAAAATAACTATAGCGAAAAATAAGCTGTAGTACAGATATGTAGTCGCAGCGGGACCGAACCTAAGCTAGATAGGATTGCGAGTTACATCAGTGTTCAAAAAAAAGCCCACAGTTCAAGCAGCTTTTTAAAAACGGATGAATAAGTTTTCATTTTAACATACAATGAAATTATAAGCACGTGTTATCAGAAGGAAAAGACGAACTTGCCTAAGAGAATGGACGGATTTGGGTGACGCCAGATAATTGATTTCAGAAGAAAAACGGAACAACGGTAAGACAGCAAACGAGTGTGCATATTCGATCGCTGATTTTATTTGTGGCAAGACCAAATAGCAGCAACACCACAGTAAACAGCAGTATAAGGTCACGAAGAAATAGATTCTCAGACGAGTGGACGACGCGCGCTGTCGGTATCGGCCGATTCTCGCTCTGCTTAGAGCAGTCTCATTCGTCATCGCTTACTGCTCTCAGTTTTTGCAGCGACTCAAACGGAGCATAACTTTAAATATAAATGAAATTTACTTTAGAATATGCTGTACTTTCCCCGGGCAGTTTTATATGCAATCCGTTTTCAAGTATATTTTTCAAAAATCAACAACCGAGAGACAGACAGGAACATTTTTCAACCTTACCTGAAAATGCATCAAAGTCAAAGTGAAAAATTGAAACCTTCTCTGCACTTGCTTTCTACGAGGGACGAAGGCACTTAAGAGGGTCGACGTAACTGCTCGCGTGTGACTGCCTCCTACCAAAAAGTCCCAGATTGGTAAATCAGGTGATCCTGGCGGTGGATTTATGTGCATAAATACAACATACAAACTGCACCATAATGCGTTTTTCTGAAAGTGGGGACCTATGTAGCACCTGTTTATTTTTAGCATCCTGTGTCAATACACTCACTGAAGCTTGCAAATAATGAGGGAGCTGGATTTTGTTTCACGGAAAGAGAGATACAAATGAAGGTTTGCTGGTGGGTTAGTACTGCCTTGAGAATTTGTGAAAAGACGGGGATGGAGAAGGACGAGGGGAGAAAAGGAGCAGAAACGTGGAGAGTGGGGATAATACCAGTTGAAAATTATAAAAAATTTTGCGACAGTACTTCTGCCCATTCATTACGTAAGATATTAGAATTGGTAACTGACACAGTCAGTGCTCTGTTCTCGACTGTTGGCAGTGGTAAATGTAATTGTGATTTGAGCTCGTTTGAATAGAAAAGACCTCATTTTTCACCCTTTCTCGCCTTCTGCTTCTGCTTCTTCCTCAGTCTGTTTCTGCTCCAAGATCTCGGCACTGCCCAAGCGAAACCAAATGTTGAAATCGTAGTATCTGCGTGGGCTCTGCAGTGATGAGGATGATGGTAATAAAATCGATTTTTTTTAACCCGTCTCATCATTTGTGACAGTGAAGAAGCTTAAATGTAAATAAACAGTTGTCCCAGATTTGTTATGGTGTAGTGGCTTGCTATTTTTTGTTGCAAATATCTATTTTGGCTTTGATGATTTCGATGCAGGGATATGCCTCTCCTTTCCAAATTTTTATATTGAGCAAGCCACCAAATATCTGATACTTGTCTAAAACTGCTTATTCCTTCGGTCAGCTACTGTGATTGTGCGTCCACTAAAACTTTCATGCACCCATGTGTTGAGAACCATGCATACCTGGCAGCTGAATTTGAAATAATCTTTAAGTTGTATGTAGGCAGGGAACGTCCCCTTAAAATTCCAGCTTTCTAACTTTCCTCGTCCCCTTTCTAACTTTCCCGCCAAAATTTTCATGTACTCATATGCGAGACGTAGACGTGTGTGACAATTGAACCACGTCCCTGAGTTTGCATTTAGCCAGAGCGCTGCACGAAAAAAATGCATAAGAACATATGCATAAGAACACGGCGAAATGACAGGGTTAATAAATGAAAATCAGGTCCAGATGCCATTTTCGTCTGCTATTATTTTTGCTGTTAATTTTCAATGTGTCACATATCACTGGAGTATAGCGGAAGGCGGGAAGGACAGATCAAAGCCGGGACAGACGGAAAGGCGGGGTGGAGTGGGCAAGGCTGTGTTTATGGCCGGCATCATATGTATCTCCAGCTAACTTCATACATGCAATCAACTGATAAGCTGATGCTATAACATGGATAGCCTTTCTACCATTGCACATATTTTTATGCGTTTTCTTCTGAAACAGTTGCACAAAACAAATATTGCCGAAATCCTGTGTATGTGTGTGTATCTGTGTGTTCCGAGTGCATTCTATCCGGGTTTTTCAAGTCGGGGACCGGAAAAGCTAGGACGCTGAAATTTTAAAGGCCCCCACCCTTTACTCGCGCGTGATCTCGCAAACTCAGCACCCGCGCGTGCCTAGGCTTCACAAACGGCGGCATGAAAATCTTGGCACCTGAATTAATAATCCGAGTAATATAGAAAGTATGAAGCAGAAATTTTAGGACAGCAAATGTTTTGACGAATGTAGTGCAAGGAATTACTGTGTCGTTGTGAATACGCAAAAAGAAAGAGCGATACATTGTTTTTTTATAAAAAATTTAGCTAATTTAAAATTTAGTTAATTTAGCGTCTGTACAAAAGTGAGCACAAGAATAAGTCGAGCGCTGGGTCGAAGATCATTGGATTTGGAGACTTCTTGTTGTCTGCGACCCGCTACGTCAGGGGAACAAAGACCGAACGACGCTTTCAACTGGGAAGTGCACTGAAGACTCAGAACCGTGAGTGGGGGAAAAAGGATTTATATAAGGAAGACGGGTCCTACTCCCAAGAGGTAGGACCCGTCTATTAATTATTAATTATTCATCTGAAAAATGTTAATACTGGTTTTTATGCGTTTTTGCCTATATGCAAATTGCAAAAACGCATATTGGGACGACCCTGTC